GCTTACGAGGAAATGTTTTCCACGGCTTTACGAGGAAACCTTCCCTCGTAAATTAGCTAGGCCTTTACGAGGAAAATAGCCTTTACGATGAACGTCTTTCGACGAAACACGTTTCCTCGCTATTTCCTAGTAAAGGGCCATTTACTAGGAAATAACGAGGAAAACCCGTCCTAGTAAAGGACGTGTTTTCTTGTAGTGAGAATAGTAATATGTGGTATCTGGACAATGGAGCCAGTAACCACATGACTGGAGATCGAGCCTACTTCACCACTCTGGACGAAACAATCACAGGAAAAGTCAAGTTTGTCGATGCCTCCCGCATATACATAAGAGGAAAAGTCTCAATTAATTTTGTCTTCAAGAACGGTACAAAGAAGAAGATGTCCAACGTGTACTACATTCTGGCCCTCAGAAGCAATATTATAAGTTTGGGACAGGCAACCGAAGCTGGATGTGAAGTGAGTATGAAGAAGGAGTTCCTAAATGTGTATGATCGTGAAGGAATATTGCTGGTGAGATCAAGTAGAGGAAGTAACCGAGTGTATAAAGTGGAGTGGGAAGCTGAGAGCTTATCATGTTTGCAAGTTGCAACAACCAACGCCTCAAATAAATGGCATGCGAGGTTAGGTCATATCAACTTTGATAACATAAAAGTGATGGTTGACAAGGATTTGGTTTCAGGAATGCCAAAGTTCCATGTTCAGAAGAAAGCCTGTGTTTCACGCTTGCTTGGAAAACACTCAGGACGACCTTTTCCCCAAGCAACGACGTTTAGGGCCTCACATAAGCTTGAGCTACTACATGGTGGCCTCTGTGGTCCAATAACACCTCCAACACTTAGGAAAAACATGTATGTCTTTGTGCTCATCGACGATCATACACGCTACATGTGGACTATGCTATTGAGAGAGAAAAGTGAAGCATTTGGAAAGTTTAAGAAACTCAAGGCATCAATTGAACAAGAAATGGGGATCTCCATCAAAACACTTCGAACTGACAGGGGAGGAGAGTTCACGTCATCAGAATTCAATGCATTTTGTGAAGAGAATGGAATCCAGAGACACCTAACTGCACCATATTCCCTCCAACAAAATGGGATAGTAGAAAGACGCAACAAGACGATTTTGGAGATGACAAGGAGTATCCTAAATCACATGAGACTTCCTAACTATTTGTGGGGAGAGGCTGTGAGACACGCTACAGACCTCATCAATAGAACTGCCACACGAACACTACCGGTCATGACTCCTTACAAAGCATTCAAGGGAAGCAAACCGAATCTATCACACTTGCGTGTTTTTGGATGTGTTGGGTACGCGAAAATTGAGTCACCTAACAGGAAGAAGCTAGATGACAGATCTCGAGCTCTAGTACACCTTGGAACAGAACCTGGAACCAAGGCTTACCGTTTGTTTGATCCAACAAGTACAAAGATCACAGTATGTCGTGACGTGACCTTTATGGAGGAAGAAGGGTGGAATTGGAACAAACAAGATGATGAGATGGATGCTAGTTTGTTCAGTGTTAACCTTGGTGAGTTTGGCAACAGAGGTTTAAGGGAGCTAGAGCCTGTCGTTGAGGCAAAAGAAGTCGGTGATGAAGCTGCAGTGGTAGAACAAAGTGCTAGACAGGTTGATACTAGCATTGAGAAGGAATCTGTAACAATCTCTGATGATGAATCCGATCAACCTCAGCTAAGACGGTCTACAAGAATAAAGAACCCACCAGAGTACCTATCAGACTACATCTTGCTGGCTGAGTCATAAAGTGAATGGCTCCTAATGTCTATTAATGATGGGCCGTGGGACTTTGCAGAGGCAAAAGATATGAAGGTATGGCTGGATGCTTGCAAAGATGAGCTAACTTCAATCAAAAAGAATAAAACCTGGAGGCTAGTTGACTTACCAGCAGGAGCTAAAGCTATTGGACTTAAGTGGTTGTTTAAGGTGAAGCGTAAACCAGATGGAAGTATAATCAAGTACAAAGCGAAACTAGTTGCAAAAGGGTACATGCAGAGACAAAGAAATGGACACCTTCTCATTATGGCTGTCTATGTTGATGACCTACTTGTTACAGGCTCTGATTTTATGATGATCACCGAGTTTAAAGGAGAGATGGAAGCTAAGTTTGAGATGAGTGATTTGGGAAAGCTAACATACTATTTGGGTATCGAAGTGTTGCAGCATGATGATGGGATTACACTAAAGCAGGAGAGGTATGCATCCAAGATCCTATCCGAGACTGGAATGAATGAATGCAAGCCAACTTGTGTACCAATGGACATGAGTCTGAATTTGTCAAAAACGGTTGAGGAGAAGTCTACTGAAGAGAAGAGGCACAGAAGAACTATTGGTTGTTTGCGTTATCTCATACACACTCGTCCTGATGTTGCATACAGCTTAGGAGTACTAAGAAGATACATGCTTGATCCAAAAGAGTCTCATGATTCAGCTTTATAGCAAATCCTGAGATACTTGCGTGGCACTACTTATGGTCTTACCTACAAACGCTCAAGCAAAGTACCAGCTCTAGTAGGTTACAATGACAGCTCGCTCAATGTAGATGTTGATGATGGTAGAAGTGTAACATGACACATTTTCTACCTTGGAGAGAGCCCTATCACCTGGTGTTCATAGAAGCAAGAGACTGTGGCCTTATCCTCCTGTGAAGCTGAATTTATGGCAGCTACAGAGACAGCTAAACAGGCGATATGGCTCCAAGATCTTCTAAGTGAGATTACAGGAGAAGCGTGTGAGAAGGTACCCATTCGTGTAGACAACAAGTCAGCAATATCACTCACAAAGAACCCAGTCTTTCACGGACGAAGCAAACACATTCACAGGAGATACCACTTCATACGCGAGTGTGTGGAAAATGGACAAGTAGACGTTGAGTACGTGTGTGGAAGCAAACAGAAGGCTGATATCCTGACAAAGGCCTTGGGCAGGATCAAGTTTGTGGAGATGAGGAAATTCATTGGTGTTCAAGACTTGGCTCAAGACAAGTTCAAGCTTAAAGGAGAGATTGTTGAGATAAGCTTGAAAATGATAGATCAAGTCTAAAAGATTTGGAGTACAAGCTAAAAGAGATTCTAATCTATCCGAGATTCAAGATAAAGAAGGCGAGTTGTTTTAGGAGTTATCTACAAACAGTTACAAGGATCTTTATCTCTAAGACTAGGTTTAATGTTTAGCTTGTATATATATGTCCAACGAGGTATGTTAAGGATATATGAGTTTGTGAGTATTTGAGGTTTTTTTAGTGAGTTTTACCTTGAGGCAATATAAAAGAGTTATTCTTTGCTTACGTTCTCATATACTGCAATTGTGTTCTAACTGTTTCTCAATATCGTTTCTTGTTGGAACAAAGAATCTCAGAACATCAGCTCTTGTGGTGATACTAGGCCTGCTAATATTTCTCAATGGACAGAGAAGTTTCCTGGCACGAGCCATTGCTGAGAGGAGTAAGGTACTATAAACTGTATAAGTTTTTATTGAAAATATAAACATATATAATTTTAAACTTAAAATAGAAACTTTGGCTATGTTAGATTCATATAGTGTATTTGGGTGAGAAGCAGCATGATGATCCCAACTTTGTCACGGAATCTCATCATCAGATGTTGTCGTCACTTCTTCGAAGGTATGTAGTTTTTCTCCCTTGTTATATGATATTGCTATGAATAAACTCAAATAAAACATAGTGGAAGTAAAAAACACTTAAAGAGAAAAAAACAAATGAGGTAAATACCAGTTTTAGTGTTTGTATATTAATTATAAATAAAAGATTTATAAATCCGTGGACCCGTATTTACACAAGACTCAAAAATCTGATATTCATCTTTCTTTTCTTTTTTTGAGCAAATATAATAAGTAATATTCATCTATTTCAAATATGATATTTGTTTGGCCTAACGAATGTGTGTCTTTTATTGGTGCACCAAAATTAAAATCAACTAGGTGACCGGCCCGCACCCTGTGCGGGTATATACATATTCAAATTATGGACTTAATAATACAAAGTTTTAGAAGTAATAGATTTTATATCATAAGACCACCGTCTTTGAGGTAAAGCATTAGGCACAGAAAAATGCTGGTACACAATATTTTACATGGAGGAGATGGAACAAAGTAACTTCAGTATCAATAGGTAGTTATTGTGTGTATTTATAATTGCAACATCACAAAAAAATTTGTGTGTTGAAGGTTGAATTTTATTTTCCAAATATAAAATTAATAGTGTGTAGTTTTATAAGTAACATATTTTCTATTATCACTAATTAGAATTCTATATTATATGTGTTGTAATTCTTAATTTTAGGTGAAAATATTATTATGCATAAATTTTTCGTAAAATGTATGTAGACAGATTAAAAGAAATGTTACACATACCCCTCTCGCTCTCTCTCTTTCTCTCTCTCTCTTTCTTTCTCTCTCTCTCTCTCTCTCTCTCTCTCTCTCTCTCTCTCTCTCTCTCTCTCTCTCTCTGTCTCTCTCTCGTTATTCTGATTTTGGGACAATGGAATTTAATTAGGTCATTAAAGATTAGTACATTTGATACATCAATTCACTTTTTGTTTCAGCGATCTAATAAAAGATATAAGATAATACTATGAAAAAGAAGATGTAATAAAACTGAAGAACTATATAACATTGTTGATATGGTTGCACGATAAGTTAGTATCAAATAATATATTCGTATTATTTATTACATTCTTTTTATTGCTATATAGATGTTCTGAATTTAATGCGTTAACATAAATCATTTTTAATTATTACCAGTCAATCTTGTGAATTAAATAAGTAATATAAAATAAGAAGAATAGTTATGAATTAAAAATATCAAATAGAAACCTGCAAAAAATTGTCAAATTTTGTTAGCAACTGTACAATATAAAACAATTTAATAGATTTCAAAATTTTATTGAGACAAAAATAATATTAAATTTGCATATCACTATTGAAAAAAAACTGATAAATGATTTGTAGTTAACTACAACCGGTCTTTCGTCTGTGTTATTTATCTGTTAATATAAAAAACAAACAAATGTAAGAATTTATAAATTTAAATTTTTTTATCGAATAAAAATAGACTAATAAGTTAGTACTAGGATAAGACATGCGCCTTGCGCAGGGTGAACTTACGCAGGGTGAATATATGTAATTAAAGTATAAAATTTTAGTATTGGCAAATTTAAAATTTACATATGATTGTTTTTATATGTATTTCAAATTTTAGAATTTTGGAATTTTTATATAATTATCTATACATAGGATCAGAAACAATTGTAATTAGCACTGTAGACCAAAGCTTAGAATTTAATAGACCAGACTTCATATATCTTTTCACTTTTCAGTGTTCGAATGTTGGAAAATAAACGGAGTGTCACTGGACTTGATTGGTAGAGTATTAACAAGTTCTCTAATGTTTTCTTAAGAAACAGTTGGTAAAGTATTTGCATTTAAAATATATAAGTTTCAAAACTAATTTGATCTAATTTATTTATTTGTCTAATAATATCAGAAAATTATATTTTTTACAATTTAAAAAAAAAAATACTTTTATAGAAAATTAAGTTAAATTTTAAATTATTTTTAAAAATAATACTTTAAGTTTTTCAAATACAAATGAACAATTTAAAAAAATTAAAATTAACAAATTAAACATTAACTCAGTTTTATATCATGATTTAAAAATTTAAAAACTAATTATGGTTATGAGAAGTTTACTTTCACGTGTCAATCCTATTTATCTTCATTTTTTCTCTTGTTGTGTTTTTTTTTTTTGGTTATTACTCGATATAAATATTTATTTTGCAGTTCATTCTCATTTCGTTTGTTTTTTTGACCTGGGATTTAGAAAATACTTAAGATTTAAAATAATTAAAGAGATACATACTTAGGTTAAGATCTGCACTTTATGCACAATATATATTTTATATTTTATATTTTTCTGCATATTATAAAATAATAAATGTATATATTAAATAACAAAGAAATCAGTTACTATTATGTAATAAATTGGTGTATGCATATAAATTTAACTATCACTCTTGTTTATTTGCAATTAGGGTAAATAAATCAAAATAATCAATCTTATATATTGTATATGATATATAATTAAATATAAATGATATAAACATATTAATATAGCAAAATTTTAATATAGATATTTATTAAATAAGGTTTCTACTCATATGATTTTATGATTATTTGCCTATTTGTGTAACAAAACTTTACGCCAACGAATTTTTTTAATGTGAGATGTTTAGTAGTTTCAATAATTTATAATCATTTAAAAAAAATAATGACATATTTAAAATTAAAATATTAACTTTTCAATATATGTTCAATGCAAATATCAAAATATAAGTATGTATTTTCATACGATGTATAGTTTAATTAAAGCGATATGAAGTATATATAAATTAAAAAAAAAATTTTCATATGGTCTTATAATCATTATATTTGATATAGAAAAAAACTTAAAACCTTGATCCTAAAATTTTATGTGAGACTTTTAACAGTTTTAGTAATTTATACTCATTTTGAAAAATTCAAAATACAACATACACAAAAAAATATCTAGATTTTTATTATATGATTAATATAATTGTGTAATTTATTTTAATAATAAAGAAATAAACAAAATGAGAAAAAATATACAAATTGTTATCAAATCTTTATTGTTTAAAATCATTAATTGTCATATATATTTTAATCACATTAGGTAATTTCGTAGGTTTTATTTAAGGAAATTATGCAAAACAATAAATTTGATATATCCGACTAACTATAGCCTACGAAATATCATATTGCTAGAGAGTATAAATTTTAGACTATACATTATATCACATGCTGTAGAATCCTTGGAATTTGAAATAGAAGCCAAAGAGCTATGCCACATAGGATTGGGATTATTTTTAATTATTACAAATTTAAGGTTACAACTTTTTAAATGATTCTCGAATAATATATAGGGGATTGACATCCCTTAGGTGTCTCCTTTATATATACTCTACCTTCCTTTTCTCTTATGTTATTAGGGAGATATTTTCATAACAAATGATGTTTAGGAATATAATTTCATAATAAATAATGAAACAATTCAAAGAAAGATATTAAAGTTATATTGTCATTAAATGATTTAAAATTAATATGTTATAAACTTGTGCAATTAAATCATATTCAAAATAAGGTAAGTTTTTTTAAAACGAATTAACAAATTAGAAACATTAAGATAAATTGCATTAAAACAATGTAATAAATATGATTTGAAGTTGCACAAGTAATATGTGTTCAAAATAAGTTTATAAAGACGATTAACAAATTAGAAACATTAACGTAAATTGAATTAAAACAATGCAATAAATATAATTTGAAGTTGCACAATTAATATGTGTTCAAAATAAGGTAGGTCATTAATAAACTAAAAACATTAAGGTAAATTACATTTAAACTATAGATATTTAAATATTAAATGATATATAATAAGGAAATAATAAATATAAAAAGTATTTGATATAACTTTTTGATTCATAAATATTACTATATATATTTAATTTTAATTAAAAAGATCATATAATTGCAAACCAAAAAAAATATCAATTTAATTAAAAAGATCATAAAACAAAATCACAATCAACAAACCAAAGAAATATATATGTATATATAAGCTTATAATTCTAAAAAATAATATAAATCTACTAATCATAAAAAAAAAGTATTGGCAGCACAAAAAGATGCTATTGAAATGATATAGCTGAGAGATGTTATCAAATAGAGAATTGTTTTTACCAGATTGAGGAACAAAGATGTTATCGAAATGATATATCAAAGATGTGTACAATTAAATCATATATAGTTTCAGTGGAGAAATCATCATAATAGGATATTTGCATATAAACCAAAAGAAAAATCAGCTCTCATGAAATATAAAAGCTTAATATTCTAAAATAAGAAGAAAAAAAAAAGTTTAGAACATTATTAACATAAAAAGTTATATTGTCATTAAATGATTTAAAATCAATATGTTATAAACTTGTGCAATTAAATCATATTCAAAATAAGGTAAGTTTTTTAAAACGAATTAACAAATTAGAAACATTAAGGTAAATTCCATTAAAAAATGTAATAAATATGATTTGAAGTTGCACAAGTAATATGTGTTCAAAATAAGTTTATAAAGACGCTTAACAAATTAGAAACATTAAGGTAAATTGAATTAAAACAATGCAATAAATATAATTTGAAGTTGCACAAGTAATATGTGTTCAAAATAAGGTAGGTCATTAATAAACTAAAAACATTAAGGTAAATTACATTTAAACTATAGATATTTAAATATTAAATGATATATAATAAGGAAATAATAAATATAAAAAGTAGTTGATATAACTTTTTGATTCATAAATATTACTATATATATATTTAATTTTAATTAAAAAGATCATATAATTGCAAACCAAAAAAATATATCAATTTAATTAAAAAGATCATAAAACAAAATCACAATCAGCAAACCAAAGAAATATATATGTGTATATAAGCTTATAATTCTAAAAAATAATATAAATCTACTAACAAAAAAAGTATTGGCAGCACAAAAAGATGCTATTGAAATGATATAGCTGCGAGATGTTATCAAATAGAGAATTTTTTTACCAGATTGAGGAACAAAGATGTTTTCGAAATGATATATCAAAGAGGTGTACAATCAAATCATATATAGCTTCAGTGGAGAAATCGTCATAATAGGATATCTGCATATAAACCAAAAGAAAAATCAACTCTCATGAAATATAAAAGCTTAATGTTCTAAAATAAGAAGAAAAAAAAAGTTTAGAACATTATTAACATAAAAAGTCCAGACTACAAAGTTCAATAATTTCATTTCTTCTACTGTGAATGTCTTATTTATAATAAATTGATGGATGTTTCTCAATGATTTAGCTTGCATGATAAGCTAAAAAAGTAACATATTCTCTAATAAATTCTCAATAAATCTTATACTTTTAAGGTAATATTATTTTTGGAATATCTTGTTGATAAAGCTAAAGGAGAACATATCGTGAATAGATTGCACCAGAGTTTTGGTTTAAGTTTTAAATACATGATTTTAGGAGAGAAAATATCTTATCAATTAATTTTGTTTTAAATGCATGATTTTAAGAGTGAAAATATCTTGTCAATTAATTTTGTTTCTCTGACATCGAAAATATTTAATGAGTATTTAATGAATTAAACAGAGAAAGGATCGCAAAAGGAAGTTCTTTGAATCGAGAAAACACAAAAGGTAAGTATTTAAATGGATTTCCTTTTTGTAGTATCGATGGTAAAAATATATCAAAAAATAAATTCTAAAAAATCAACCAATAGAATCGCTAGAGTTCTTCTGAGAAAGGCTGTGTGAGTGCCACATGACAAATGTACTTCTTTTTTAATATATAGAGGGATTTGGAATCAACAACTATTAACCTTCCTTACTTGCGAAAGAGAAAGAAGATTTAGGCTAAGCTTTCAATTAACTTTAGTCTTTCTCAGAGACTAATATTATTTCTTGGAAATTCATTTATAATAATCATAAAATATTTATTTAGAGATACAAGTTGATGGTAAAAGCAAAAAGACTTAAATATAATTTAAAAAGAAACCATAAAAATATTCTAATAGATAAAAAAAATGTTGAAAATTGAAAATAACAAAAGCCATTAACTAAAATATCCTAAACATAACCACATCCTAAAGGTCTAGTGGTTTTTATTGAGTAAAGAGTTATCATGTTGGTTCAGGACAGAGTTCAGTTTCCCTCCACTGCGGAATTACTAGTTCCACATATGGTCACACAAATATAGATCTATTGTTTACAACCTATTTAAATATTCGAAAGAGGGTCCATCCGAACTGTACCCTAGAGCTTAGTCTGGACCATTCCTTCAACTCGGGATACTCCAAGTTATAAAAAAATCCTAACCATGGTCTCTTATCACTATAATAATTTTGTATTTTGTATACTCATGGTTTCTTGCTTTTGCGTCATCGTTCATGTTATAGTAAAGAGGGTGCACATGACTCAATGGTACACAGTTTTCGACATGGCTTCTCAGGTTTTGCAGCCAAGCTTACCAAATCCCAAGCCAATGGTATAGCAGGTACACATATCTACAAGACATCATATAGTTGTCACAATAAGCCAATCTGATTTGGTTATCGTTGCTCTTTTTTTTTTAATCTCTGGAAACAGCTTTACCTGAAGTTATTCATGTCACACCGGATAGTTTCTACAAGCTGGCAACCACTCGGACTTGGGACTACTTGGATGTTTCTACCACCGATTCAAAGAATATTCTTAATGATGCTAATGTGGGTGAACAGATTATCATTGGCATTGTCGACACATGTATATGAGTGTTATTTGCAAATTTATTTCTCATTTTGCTTATTGAAGTGTAGATTAATCTTATGTTTCCTGTTGCTATTGATTCCTCCATGGCTCTGTTTTAGCGTCTATATGTCTAAACTGTGTTTTATGGTTTCAGGTGTATGGCCAGAATCTGAAGTATTTAACGACGATGGGTTTGGTCTGGTGCCGAGCCACTGGAAAGGAAGCTATGAATCAGGAGAGATGTTCAACTCCTCTCACTGCAATAAAAAGCTTATAGGAGCAAAGTATTTTATCGATGTTTTTCTTGCGGAGAACGAAAACTTCAACTCCACAGAATCACTTGACTTCATTTCCCGTAGAGCCGTTAATGGTCATGCAACACATGTAGCAACCATCGCAGGCGGTTCATATGTTCCCAATACAAGCTACAAGGGGCTAGCTGGAGGAACTGTAAGAGGTGGGGCACCACGTGCTCGTATAGCAGTGTACAAGACATGTTGGTATCTGGATGATCTAGGCACATATATTTGTTCGTCCGCAGACATCTTGAAAGCAATGGACGAGGCAATCCATGACGGTGTTGATATTCTGTCTCTTTCTTTAGGCTATGAACCTCTGTTCCCAGAAACAGATGTTCGCGATGGGATAGCTATTGGGGCATTCCATGCAGTCTTAAAGGGTATTACAGTTGATTGTGCGGGTGGTAACGCAGGCCCAGCGGCTCAGACCGTTACAAACTTGGCTCCTTGGATCATCACAGTAGGTGCTACTACTCTAGACCGATCCTTTCCCACGCCTATGAAACTTGGGAACAACAAAGTGATATTGGTAAATGATCAGCCTTTTGATAGCCTCAACTAGCGTGCTTGCACTGTTTATTACTGTTTATTTATGGTTCATTTTGAATCATCCTACTTCTAAATCTGTTGTAGCTACTGTGTGACTTCGGTCATAGAAACTGTAACCGTTCTTTTTCGATTTTTTTTTAAAAAAGTGATATTGGTAACAACTCTATAAATTAATAAACACTATAAATTAATATTTTTTCTGATTCTAAGTTGGACTGATTCAAAATATGATATAAATTAATAAAATAATAAGATAATTATTTCTTGTAGAAAATCCTATATAAATATATGTTGCACTAAAATTATAAATTAATTATTTATATGTGCAAACCATTATATTGTTTGTCTTACATTCATAATATAATTATCTTTAAATTTTTAACACTTAATATATTTTGATGAAATTTAGTAAAACTCTATCTAAAACCACATTTAAATTTAATGAGACATATTTTATATACACCAAATAATTAAGAAAATTAAGATAAACGTCAAATTTCAAAAAGTTAATTAATCTATAAAGACTAAAATAAAATAAAAATTATAAAGATTATATATTTTATAATAAAAAATCAAAAACAGAAAGTTTTAGTAAATTAATAACTCTATAAATTAATAAAATACCAAAGTTTCAACATTATTAATTTATATAGATTTTACTTTATATTTTTTTTCTCTAATTTATGTAAATTTCAAAACATTTATTTTTCACCACTTTATTTCAGGGTCAAGCAATGTACACAGATCAAGAACTTGGCTTCACTAGTTTAGTTTACCCAGAGGATCCAGGAAAGAGCAACGAAACCTTTAGTGGGTAATTTCTAAATCTCTTGTTTCTTATTTGGACCTATTTAAGGTTATGTAAAAAGTTCACCAAATCTTGCAATATGAAGAAGATCAATGCTTTGAATACATTCTGAATCTTGTAATGCAGTACTTGTGAGCGTCTTCTTATCAATTCTGATCTTACAATGGCGGGGAAAGTTGTGTTATGTTTAACAAAATCACCTTAAGATATTGCGGTATCAAGGGCTTCACGTTATGTGAAGCGAGCCGGTGGCCTCGGCGTAATCATTGCAGGACAGCCAGGCAACATTATCCGACCATGTTTAGCAATCGCATATCTAGAAAATAATTTTAGTGGGGCATAAATTAATTATTAATAAATATTTTTATTTAATAATATTAAATATATCTATTTTTATTAAAAAGAAAATTTAGAAGAAAAATAATATGACTAAAACTTCTTAATGAAGAAACAAAAAGAATTTACTAATAAAATGGAAACCAATACTAGAATTCAGAATATTTTAAGACAAAAAATTTTGAATGAAAAGAAATGAAAAAAAAAAATAGAACAGGAGGAAAATAATTAAACATAACACATGGCCAGAAAAAAATCAGAAAAGTAAAAAAGGAAATATAAGAAAAAAGGGTACAAGGAACTAAACGAAGAAAATAATATATATCACTAACATAACGGATAAATAATATGATTCTAGGTACAAAAAGAAAATTAGGATTCTAAATTTTTTAAAATACAAGTTTTTGCATGAAAAGAAAGAAAATGAGGAAAAAAAATAGCATGAGAAAATACGAAACATCATAAAGACATGGCCAAAAAGAATATCAGAAAAGTAAAGAAAAGGTAAGAAAAACAAATGCTGAAAGGCGGCAGATAGAGATTCGAACGTTGGTCCAGTGGGGGCAATGTTAAGGGTTTGACCAACTAAACTGTACAAACTTAACGTTTCTTGTGTGTTTTATACTATTATTTACAGATTTTACTGGGGCAGCTGCCCCCTTAATGAGCAACGTAGATCCGCCCATGATGTTTAGATGATTTCCCTTGTGTTTCTGTTGACTACGAGCTTGGGACCAACATACTTTTTTACATACGTTCCAGTGGGTATGAAAATATAGATATAAGATCTTTCCCACTAGTATGAGTAATAAAAATAGGCAAATGTTTTTGTTATGTTGTCTTTTAAAAATTTCAGACACATCATGTTGTCTTTTCTCTGATATATGTTATCAATCATATGATATTTAGCCAGATATAGCAGCACCAGGGGTTAGCATATTAGCTGCAACAACCACTAACACCACACTAAACGACCGAGGATTCATTTTTCTGTCCGGAACATCAATGTCAACTCCTACCATTTCAGGAGTTATTGTACTTCTCAAAACGTTGCAGCCTGATTGGTCCCCTGCTGCCTTTAGATCAGCCATGGTCACTACAGGTTCTTATCTTCAATCTAATTAGCTCGAAAAGAACATATATACTCATCTCAAGAAGCGTATTTAATTACTCTGCAGCTTGGAGCACCAATCCATTTGGAGAGCAGATTTGTAACGCTTCGACTGCCCACGGCTAATGGGCAATACATGCCCGTTCTCTCGGCCCGTGAATCCTATCCCGTTCCAACGGTCAGTCCGTTAATTTTCCAAGACTCTAGAGTTATGTTTACTGACCCTGTAATCACCTCATGACATTTTCCCGTGCTTTAGATTCACTTATACGGTATCGCAAATCACTTTCCGATAGGTCATTCATCCTTTGACTACTCCAGCTTAAGCACGTTTAACTCTGGAGTTCTCTCTGGATGTGTTCCCCAAAAGGTAAGTACACTTTAGTGACATAAGTAACCAAATCAATTCTCTTAAGATTTTCCATATATCACAACTCAGGATGTTACAAGATTTTTGCAAAAAGGTTGCCTCGAAAGCTAGCTGATCCATTTGACTATGGTGGAGGCTTTGTGAATCTAGAGAAAGCTGCAAGACCAGGTCTTATATACGACTTGGACCTCAGAAGACTATGTGCTCTGCTGGTTACAACGACTCATCAATCTCTCAGCTTGTCGGTAAATTAACTGCCTGCTCGAATCCAAGACCACCTGTTCTTGATTTCAATTTGCCTTCCATCACAATACCAAGCCTCAAAGAAGAAGTTACTCTCACCAGAATCCTCACTAATGTTGGACCAGTAGACTCTGTCTATAAAGTAGCGGTTGAACTACCGATGGGATTTCATGTGACTGTGACGCCCATGTCTCTTTCAAAGTCAATGTGTCGACATCACACAATATCAGCACAGACTACTACTTTGGAAGCTTGACTTGGAGCCACTCTGTGCATAATGTCACCATTCCTTTGTCTGTGAGAACGCAGATTCTGCCCTTCTACTCCGATGAAAACTAGAAAATAAAGAAAACTGACCATTCATTACCCTTTTTAACTCGTATTTAAATTGTACTTATAAAAGTAGATAACTACTTTATTACATGGCACTGGATAATTAATTCCTATCAATGATTCTATGTATAAAGAGTATAGATATTTTATGAAAAATATATATATTATTTTGATAACTTCATAAATTTAAATAAAAATTAGAAACATTGAAAAAGTAATTTTTAATTATAAATAGTTTGAAAATCTAAAATTTCAGTACTATATTTTTTTAAACATGAGACTTAGATAATTCAATAATATTAATCTGTTTTTTATGAATAATAATCTTAATCTAAGTCACTAAAAATTTTATATTATAAATGAACCTAAAAAACCTGTCTTAAAACACTCTAAATCATTGCATTATTTTATCTATCACTTCATTTAAATTTGATGTACATTTTCTTTTCTTTTTTTTTGAATGAATGTAAAATTTATTCAATCAAACCATGTTTACATCAAGTGGCACAATTTTGCAAAAAGCTACAAAGAAATAAAACAATTACTCCAAAAGGAGCATTAGAAATCAAAAGAAAACCAAAAACATCATCACAATTCTTCCCCTCAAGCTTGACCATGCGGAACAAGTCAAGCTTGGGAGGATTATGAAACTTTCCTCATTAAAACCTAATCAAATAAAACCCAAATGGGACAATTTTGATTAGGAAAAAGATTAAAAGTTGCATAACCAGGGAAGAGTATGGACTACTCACAGAAAACCGCGAACCATTTCCAATCTCAGCTACACACAAACCAAACCCCTCAGATTCTAGTTGAAAACCAAGTCAGTAAACTATCCTCCAAATATTTCTTACCCTTCCCTTTTACCATAAGAAGCTTCAGACGAACAGTTTTATCAACCATCTTGGAGAGAATGTTTTCATCCAAAGGCTGCTCTCCATGCTTCCTAGCGCTCTCTCCAAATACTATGAGCCAAGGATTGAAACACATAACAGATGATAAATGTTTCTGTGGGACATCTTCTAGCTTGAGAAATAATACCAATGATCTCGTTCCAGTTTGTAGTAAACTCATCTTTTAGAATACCTTTCACCACATCCCTCCATATTTTACTTGAATACCTACAGCTGAAGAATAAATGACCACGGGTCTCTTCCTCCATTTTACACAGCACACAAACTCTATCAACATTAGGTGTGCAATTCCACTGCGTAACTCTATCCATGGTCTGTAACATGTTTCTAATCGCAATCCAAGCAAGGAAAGAATATTTGGGAGTAGAGTGGGGAAACCATATACCTTTACTCCATCTACAATCTGGACGAGGCTGTCTGATGCTAAGCCAAGTTTTCTTAGTGGAAAAGTGAGCCAAGTAGGTATTATCAGAAACTCGCCACAAAGGAACATCGTCATCACAACTAGCCCTCCTCTTAACCTTATCAATCTCATTTTCAACATCATTAAAGAAAGGAAGCCGATGCCGATTCAACACATCATAAACAGAGTCATTTTCCCTAATACCCATCTCAATGTTACCACCACTTCTCAAGTAAGTAATCAAGTAGCCCAAATCCGACCAGTGATCGTACCAAAAGGAAGCTCGTTTACCATTATTGACCTCCATTTTGTGAAAACCCCTTGCCAAATCCCTCAAATGCAACAACTTTCTCCAGATCCAGGATCCAGTAACAGAGCTACTTCTTATGGACCAGAAAGATCCCTTCCTTATCAAGTAACACTGAACCCATTTAACCCACAGAGAGCCACTAGTAGACGATAGTCTCCAGATAAGTTTAAGGCATAAAACTCTATTCACTTCCTTAAGAGGACGAAGGCCTAAGCCACCTTCTCTTTTCGGCAAGCAAATATCATTCCAGCTAACTTTGGCTTTACTTGTCTTCAACTCCGGACCAGACCACAAAAAGGCAGAGCAAAGACTTTCAATTTCTTTAAGGCAGCTACTTGGAAGACTGAAAGCTGAAAGCCAAAAATTAGCTAAACTGGTAATTACTGAACTGATTAACTGAAGTCTTCCCCCATACGAAAGAAACCTGCCCGTCCAAGATTTCATTCTTTTCCTGATTTTCTCAACTTGAGGCATATAATCTAAGACAGTCATTTTCTTAGTGAGAAGAGGAAGGCCCATGTATCTCACCGGTAACTTACCTGACTCAAAAGGAAAGCTAGTGATGATATCCTGCTCTTGACTAGCAGAAATCCCAGCAGTGTACAAAGTGGATTTTTCAAGACTGATTTTAGGACCAGAAATTTCTTCAAACTCCTTAAAGATCTTCAGGACACCTTCAATAGATCTCTTCGAACCATCTGTAAAAACTAATAAATCATCAGCGAAGCACAGATGAGTAAGAAGGCTGTTTCTACACCTCGGATGATAACCAATCCTGCTTCCAGCAGCAGCTTTGTCCAGCATATGAGAAAGAATATTTATGCATATGACAAATAAGTAAGGAGATAACGCACACCCTTGTCTCAGACCCCTTTTGCTTTGAAAAAACCCAGCTAACTCTCCATTAACTTGGACATAAAAAGAAGGAGAGCAGACGCATAGTTCAATCCAATGAACGAACATGTCTGGAATATCAAAGGTTCTCA